CGGGGTAGTACCCACTCTTGCTAACTGACCGTGGCTTGTTCATGCATCGCTTCGCGCTGTGAGAGAATTCTTTCCCGCGTCCACATTGTTCTAATTCGTAGCCTCATTTGTTGGCTTAGAAATTAATTCATGTTGCGTTTTTTATATGCGCAACGAAACCGGATATTATTAATTTATTGTCGATTCCCCTTTGATTTAAATTTGTTTATTTCATCATGCATGAAATGACAAATGTAACTATTTAAACAGGTTATGTTCGAGAATTCCTAACTGGATTTCTGTTAAAACACTTGTTTAAATTTGCTATCCCTCTCAATCTGTTTGGAAAAACTGAGATAACAAATGAGTATAATTCAGGCAACGTGATATTTTGTCCGTAATCAAAACAATAATAGAGTATGTTTAACATCCACATTATGCAGTTATAACGCCGTTGTAGCATAATTTGCAGTACGTATGAATGCAATCCAGTTTAACGCGCGCCGACTTCGACAACGAAAGTGATTTCGACGCTGAATCTATTGCTATATAGATTTAAATCTGTATTTAATTTTATATGGTCATTACACGCTAGGTTATAAATCTTTACAAACATTCTATGAGGTCTCACATATTTTAGCTACTAATCTGTCGAGTGCGATAAAATAAGGGCATACACACATGCACACTTGCATGCAACATATTGGCATGTGTATACGCATTGAGCCAGTAACTGGCACGCAAGCTACAATTCCATTCCACTAGTATATGTATTATGACCTGAGCTCCATGACGTCATCAAAGCATTTTGTACAAAAATGTTAGTCACATGACTGTTTCTTCTACTTTTTGAATTTTAATTATTTAATTTTCTTTAAATATTGCTTACTAATCTTTATCTTTACTTCATTACTAATATTATAAAGAGGAGAGAATTGTTATTTTGCATATATTGAGGTAACTCAAAAACAATTGGTCCGATTTTAAAGATTCATAGACCGTTTGAAAAGTAATTTATCTGTGAGTAACATAGGCTTCTTTTACATTTTTTTTTAATTTTACGCAGACGAATTCGCGAGCAACCGCTTGTAATAAATAAAGTTAAAAAACTAGAAGCTCGTTAGTGCAAGAAATAAAAGCAATTAGAGACGTAACTCAATAGTTGACATTGTGAAGTGGCCACAAAAAACGTCACTTGTCGCGATAAGCTAAGTTTACAAGTGATACACTGATCGGCCGGCGTTAAGTTACAGTAACTTGAATCTGTGGGATCGGTAACGGATATTTATTTATTTTTGTATTATTCGTTTTATTGTCATACCATTTTTTTTAATTATCGTTTTTACTGGACTGCTATTTAAAAAGTCCTGTTATTTCTATTGTAGTAGTTATTCTGTTATAGACCTAACACAGACAGGCGTATTATAGGATTTTTTATTTAAATATCGCTTGGATAAGTCGCGGGCAACAGCTTGCTGAAAATAAAACAAATGTGAATTCACCTGTAACTTTCGGTCGTAAATGTTACTGGCCTTTAAGAATGATTACAGATGTTTGGTATACAATACTCCAAACAAATGACAAAGGCAAATATTTAAATTCATATAAAACCTTCTTTATTTGAACAAATAGATAATGTCATTTTAACACTATTGCCTTTGTAATCCTGTTATTAAAATACACTTGGAGGTTTAATCTTTATTATTTTGCGATAATGAATTTTAAGTTATATTGAACTCTACTTACATCGTCTATTAAGCCTTCTTGTATGTTAAATAAAGTCATCACTTTGTGACCTTAATAATGCAATTATTTTCTAATAATCTGTTTCTTGTGATTCATATTAGGTTACAAAAAGCTTAGGTTGACGAATTTGGTATATTACGAAATTTTTTACAGTAAAATTCTTTTTTTTACTGTTTAACATGTTAGTAGTAGATTTAAGTACTTTATAAAGTTAAATACTGAGTATTTTATGATTTAACTAGTTGTTCCTGTGCGGCTTCATCCGCATAAAATTATAAAAACTTAATTTTTTTATTTACATTTGTCAATGTCAAATCAATTGATATATCCAAATTACCGTTACCATAATAACCTTGATTCCTTAATGTTGGCAGTTTATAGTTTATAGTCTCTTTACCAACGTGAAGGTTTCTTTCCAATTTATTTACCTCCTAAGTTTCAGAGCGTGAAAATATATAGCCAATAGCGTGTCGTAATTGTAGGGCTTTTTATTAAAGAAATAATTATACAAATTATGGTGTGATTGCTGATATCCTACGCCGCAAAGAAGTGCGTAGTTACGCTTTATTATATTAGTGTGGATAAGTGATAGAATATGAGCAATTGTTGCTTAGTTTTACAGGTAATTCCTATACATATTATTTTAAACTTGTATAAACTATAGCATCATTAGTCAAACTGGACACATGTTCGTCTGCGGGCGGACATTCGAAGGAACGTAAAAGATCACTAGCGTCAAAACAGCCTCCATTATGCTTTGTTTTTGTTTCAAAGAATAATTTGCCAACACAAAGGCGGGCCGCATTGTACAAACGTCCGCTACATGTTGCGACACACGTCAACGTTCTCTGTCACACATTGTAAAGATTTTTTTTATTTGGTTTAAACTTAGAAGCGACCTTGCGGTCAGTTTCGTTGATTCATTTAGATCAGCCTTTATTCTTGACTACAAGTATTGTACAAATCCTATTGACTAGTTAATGGTCTGACAAAACGAAAATATATATGCTAGAAAAAATATCTCTATATCGGAAATAATTGTGATGTAGTTTCTGCATTCGATTTCATTTCCATGTAAGTCAAGAAATATCGACTCGATCGGGTCCGTAGACTATTTGTAACCAAAGACGTATTAAATGTATGGATGTAAACAACGCGAGAATGGACCAAGACTGCAGAATGCAAATCTGTAATCTCTGTACATATTTAAAGGGCACTCTGCAGTTAAAGAAAACAAACTACCACATTGAATTCCGCCAAAATCGTATTTTACATAAAATAAATAAAGATGAAGCCAGATTATCATTTCTTAAAAATTTCCCCAAAATTCAAGGATTGAATAAACCTCTCGTAAAGGACATTGTAATATACATATTTCTCTTACAAGAGATGTAGCAATTAAACTTATAATCCGACGGCGATCATCGCGCGACAGTGTAACGGCTCGAGTGAGCAACCAGCCTTATATGGCGTGAAAGCTTCTCGTATTGTCCGGTCCGGAGTCCGTGTGCGATCACATGTGTTCGATAGCGCCTCATTGGCCCCATATGTAACTCGCCTTCCATGAAACGATTCCTTGTTTCTCGAATTTGGGTATACGTTTGATTGTGTGCTTTTGAAGAGGCTTACTAAATTCTGTTGGATTTTATTTTATTGTAGTGTACTTCAAGTAGTAATGATAAACATACTCATATTCGTTGTTTTATAGTAAATTCGGTTTACACACAGTTCTATTCCTAAGAATTAAATCGGAATAATAATTATCGAAAAGATTTGTAGTTTCTGCAAACGATGCGATGTTATTCCAACTTCGAATATCAAAGTGTGATCTTCCAAACAATTTATTGTTGCTATGAAATTATCGAGTTCAACCATTTATCATAATTTAAAGTAGATTTCCCAGTAATTATTATTTATTTATGTTAATTGCTACATCAATTTCGTTATGATTAGTTGGTAGAGCTAAATGAGTTCCTTTTGTGACCACATAAAACATAATCAAGAGGAAATTACACAAATTAGCTGCGAATATCCCGTTCTGTTTTGAGTAACATAATTTATTAGTGTATTTGTCAAGGCTGCCAAAAGAGTGGCACAAAGAGCAGGCGTCAGTCTACATCTGATTAAAATAACACGAACTAGAATTCACTAAATGTTGTTTTATAAAATGTTTTATTGCAAACGAAATGGGTAAATTTCATAAATCAACTCAATGTCCTTGTACGTACCATTTGTAAGACATTTTCATTATAGAATTTGGACGAATCTCGTGGAGTATGGTCTTGTAAAGGTCAAAAGAGGCTAATGCCTAAAAGTAATATAACACCATTCCAGGCTTGAATGTCGATGAAATATTTTAAAATACATTTCATCTTAGAGAATATATTTAAAATTGTTTACATTACACTTTACAAACATGGTGTTTGATTTTATCTTCCTTATTCAGATAATGAGGTGATATGACTCATGCTGATATCCGGTGGTGTAGATGACCATATGTTTTTGCGACACCGTTTGCATATAAATAACGTCTTCCATATGTATAATTAATCGTATATATATACTCACGTATATACGAGTACCTGTACTACTCCTAGCCTTATTTCATTCTTATCTGAATACTAGCTGTTCCCGTGCATTCCATCCACGTGAAATTATGAAACCTTTACTTTATTGTTTACATTTGTCAAATTTCCAATTGCAAATGTCAAAATTCAAATGTTCCTTTGAGATTGGATAACAATTACCATGGCATTCTTGTTTCCTTGATGTTGGCAGCTTGTAGTTTATGGTTACTTTCCAATATGAAGGTTTTTCCAATTTAATTATCCCCTGAGTTTATTAGCGTGAATATATATAGCCTAAAATTTTTCGTTAGTGTAGGGCTTTTTATTAAAGAACTAATTATTCAAAAATATGCTGTGATTACTGAAATCCTACGTCACGAAGTAGTGTGTATTTACGCTTTATTATAATAGTATAGTTTACAACATGTTTCTGGAGATTTGGATAAGCCCACATAGACACATCACATAGAAGTACGAAAGGCATGATTACACGTAGATTTTACAGAAGCCAAGTTCTTGTAAGCCATCTGATATAATATCCAAATGCTAATAAATTCCTGCAACGACACATTAAATTTTATCTTTCCCAGTAAACCGTTTGGGCGGGGATCTAAAATTATCGCAACTAATATGACAGGTTTTATCTAAGAAATTTATTGCCGCAGATGTTGTAGGCCACACTAAAAGTTTTTATTGCTTTCTTTACAGAAATAGCGAAAGTGCGAGCGAGTTTATTCCAAATAAATGGAGTCAAAAAGGAGCCTCTTATTCTACCGGAAGCAGAGGGCGTTGTCACCACACTCACAGAGAAAGTATACGTCCCGGTCAAAGAACATCCAGATGTAAGTACCTTTACTATCATTATTAACCGATTGTAATTAAACATTTTCATAGTGAAGTATAAAGATCTCTAAGCTTGGCGTATTGCGATTATTTTGAACAGAGATGAATGGATATTAAAGTCAATAGAAGTCAATAGAAGTCAATAGAAGTAGAGTCAAGTAGAAATCATTATTAAAAGCCAGAACGAGTGCAATTTCAAAATAAAATGTTCTGCAAAATAACAAGAAACAAATTTGTTTTATACCCAGTTGGATAATATTATGTGTCATATTCGAATAAAAAGAGATAAAATACGTTATGAAAAACTTGCCAGTTATTTGCGAAGTCCAAGTCTAACAGTGTTTAACTCTGTGTAAAAATTCGCGAAAAATTCTGCATGTTGTAGGAGAAAGTCCATTTTATTCCTAAAAATCTTTCCGTAGTGAATAAAATATTCATAGCTTTAAAGTAGGAATTGAAGAAAGTTTTTTATTATTTTAAAACAACGGTACTTTTCATATTTTTATATTCACAAAATAAAATGAACATTTAATACATTCTATAACGGTGAAAACTAATTAAGAATGGTAAGCAATTGACTTCTAAAAGCTTGTGTTTTAAAAGGTAAACAATAGAAAATTATTTAGATCAACAAACGTTATACAAAACCTGTTCCGTTTATAGCTGTGTTCCAAAGTTTACTTGGACTATAACATGTAGTAATAATTTTAGTGCATATAATAAGGCTTTCCTGCTTTAATTATTATGTGTCCGTATACGTTGCCCTTGAACTCGACGCAATATTCAAATGTGAAATACTCGATCACCTAATCAATGAATTACCTTGAAATAACGGAATAGACCGGTGACTTTTAATTGAGACTGTTATGTTACGCTTTAAAAATAAAATCTCTGCGCCTAATAAAGCTATCTTAAGTATCATTTATGTCATTTGTTTTAAAGAGTCTATTTGGTACATTACATTTTAGATCGAGATAAATAACGCAGGTATCACAGGGAGATACTGCGTACATATAAATAGAAACGCAAGGTTGGTAAGCTTCTACATTTGGTGACTTATGTCAGGGTTACCTCGCTACCTACGTAGACCTTCGACTTTAACTTTCATTCATTGTGGTTTATAACCACCATCTCCATAAATTTAACGAATGATACGATTAAGGCAGAGTTCGTTGACTTGTGAATCATTTGTTACATCAATGAATGTAACTAAATCCCTGTTTGAAACATAAAAGAGATCTGATTGCGACTGATGAGGCTTATTTTGATAACATGTTTCATAGCGGCACCATCTAGCGCCTACTGTTGCCTTACTGGCCGCTATCTGTGAAAGAGATCTGTTTTAAATGTACTCTGTGATATATGCTTAAGAAGTGACTGACCCGAACAAGTTTATGAAGTTAACAGACTTCATAGTAATTCTACTTGGTTTATTAAATACTATTTGTAAATTAATGTTTTTTATTAAAATTTAGAAATAGCTCTAATCTAACTATCTAACTAATATAATGTGAAAGTTTAGATGGATGGATGGATGTTTGTTAGAGTTTGTAGCCTAAACGGCTAAACGAATTTCAGTGAAATTTGGTACGGTACAGATTTAGAGGATACTCTGGAAGAACACATAAGCTACTCACTTTTTTTTTAATTCCGCGCGGACGGAATCGCGGGCGAAAGTTAGTGCTTTAATATTTGCATTAACGTTCCGCTTATCCATTTTTTGCAGATACTTTAACTGAAAACTTTATTATTTTTTTATGAAAGTTCCCCGTATAACGATTCTTTATCTATACCAAAAAGGTTAATAAAATAACTTTTAAATAAATTGTTTTAATATAAATATGTCTTCAAGACAAACTAGTATCTAATTTTACGCATCTCTTAATCAAGGGTCAGTCACATCTGGAATTTCTTTGATGATGATTTCGTTCATTGATTATAGTGATTAATCTCGTAGACTTTTGTTGATTAGCTGTGCGCCCTTAGATCTTATAAAAACATATCATAAATAAAGGCCTTCTTGTTTGAACGTTCAGTTCGCAAGCTTTAGTCGCTTGTTAGTGGACGATTGTTGGCGCCATCCGCGCGGCTTAGTCACTGTCCTTATATGGAGTTGGCGTTGGCTTTTTTACATCGGTTGCTCCGTATTTTTGTAGAGCTAATCTTATACGTCATCAGTTTTTCTTTCACAGTAAAATTTGGCTTAAATAATTAGAATTTCGTAATCAATATTCGTCACTCTTCTTGAGAAGAAGAAATTCAAAGATATGTGTGAAGTCAACCAACCCGTAGTGGGCCAGCGTGGTTGACTATGGCTTAGTCACCGTAACTTAGGGTCGAACGTAAAGTGAGCTAGTAATGGCGATGACTCTTCGTGAGTATCGGGATAATTGTCAAGGGCGGTAACAATGTGACCATAAATCTACACATTAATCGAATATTGTATTACCGATCAAAGAAGCCGCAAGGATGCATTCGCAAAGTAATTGCAGTTAATGACTTCTCGGAACAGTTATCGTATTTAAATAAGCATTTTTCAAATCAACATTCAAAGAAGATTAGCAATACTGCGGATTGTAAAGTCTAGAACATTCGAAAGTACTTCTATAACTTTTTTCTATGCGTTTGTGTCCTCAAATTTAGAAGTGCGTACGTCTCTGATGATTTACCAAAGGCATCAATACAAATTCAATCGAGTGTGAAAGAGACAACACTCTTTCGTCGGATCATGATTTCAAATGCAAATGCAAAAAAATGCCAACAATAAAAATCATTTCCGTCATACCAAGAACTAGAACGGGAATATTTACTTTGGCGTTTTATTCGCTCGCAAAAACCCTCGTACCGTAAAGTAAACGGCATCTAATCTGGAAATAGAGCACACGAAATGCGTTTCGTATGCCGAGTACACTGCCGTCGAAACAATGGTTTTTAGGCCTTGCTTGTAGCGGCCGTGACTAACAACGAAAATGTTTTCGATGGCAATTCGACTACAGTAATTCGCACAGAAGTGATGCCGTTACATTTTCAATGTGTTAAAACTATTAAGTGCTCAAATACACGAATTGTTAAAAGGCAATACTTGTGTATGATAAATATTTAGTTTCGGTGCATTCTTAACGAATTTTCCATAGAATATGTTTAAGAATCTATTGGTCCATATAGATTCTGGTTAGATATTGTGATATTTTTTATTTAAATCGGAATATCATTACGATTTCACTGCTGTTACACATTTTTTTTCGATTTTTCTTTCAAATTTCAAACAGGTATTGAAATTGTCTACATGTTAAATGAGATTCATCTTAAACGTGTATTATAATGTAGAAATCCAGAAGTGCATTATATTCTAGGAAACGTTAATATACAGAATGTATTTGTAACTAAAACGACCTTCAACAAACTAGATATATTATACTGTTATTAAGATGTCTGATATTACTTGCCTTAATAGAAAATGCGTTCCAAACGAAGTCTTACATCCGATTCCGCATGATCTAAGGTGCATGAAGAGTATACGATGTGAAGTTGGTTTTCATACCAACTTGAGATATCTTGTCCCACTGGTTTTCTCGTTAAACTTGTATCTTGCTGTACCAAATGGAAATCAAGAGCGGTTTAACATAGGCATTCGATAATGAATCATATGGAAAATTTCAAATACAATAATGCATCTATGTCTTTAATACTGTTATTAACGTTTATAGAATTAATTTATAACATTACTAGCTTTCGCCCGCCACTTCGTCAGCGCGGAATTGAAAAAAAAGTAATGCAAGTAGCCTATGTGTTCTTCCAGACTATACTCTACGTCTACCAAATTTCATCGATATCCGTTCAGCCGTTTAGGCTACAAACTCTAACAAACATATCGATCCATCTAAACTTTCGCATTTATAATATTAGTATGATAGCGACTAACTTGGACTCCGAAATATTTTATTATAAAATCAATTGATTATGTAATTTATCAATATGTTTAAAGTTTTGTTTATGTTCGTCCATTGGAGTCCTCGGTATCTTCTCATCGCCTTATAAGATAACTCTTATTAAATCCGTCCATATCAGTCTGTCCCGTTACTCCATTTTTTGCTCAGCTTGTTGACTCTTCGTTTAAAACTTAACTGTACTCTTTCCTTTCAAATCCAATCAGTATTTAAGATGTGTTCGAAGTTTAGTTACGCTGTGTATTTCTAAAGATGTTATGGTAATGTTGTTTTAAGAAATAAAATTGTCGAACACATTCCAATAGTCTTGCATTTAAAAACAGTATTCTTGTTTATTGTTCGTAAAAGTCATTCCAACTAATTTGTTTTCTATTCATTGCTTTTACGTGGTCTGTAATTGAACCAGGTTGATTGATATTTTTATTGCTTACCGAAAGTCATGTGATGTCGAATTAGGTGCGCTAAAATGTCGTGAAAACCATTTTTAGTTTCCTATACAATTAAATTCTTGCACGTATCGAAATTATTTTCATGATATCAACATATTTTGTACTACAATCAATATGACTCATCGAAATCCTTTTAATCGAAACGCGAATGATTTTGTGTTAAAAATATGTGGAAAAACAAAATGAAATAGAGAATTTTAAAATAAAAAAGTGCAATTTTTCATACACCGAAGACAGATATAATCTGTCTCCGAACTGTGTTCAAAATGCCAATTTATTTTAGCTGTCACCGTGACATATTGCACTTAAAATCTGCGGATACCTATTTAATTTAGCGATTTGTTTGCGTTCTACACTTTATTTACGAGTAAAGGAATTCCCACGGAAATACTAGTTTCGATAATTTGCGGTTACTTAGTGAGATAAGATTTTTAAGCCCAAATTAATTAAAGCGAATGCTGCGTTTCGATGCTCTAATTTTATCAATTATCATTTTTACACACATTGCAAGGGAAAAGTGTTAAATTCCTTTAAAGTTAAACTTTTAAAAGTGTATTTCAATGTTAACATGTAAGGGGTTAAGGAAAAAAGTTTTAGTAACAT